TAATACAGGGCTTCAAATCAAGTTAATAGGAAATCAAAAAAGTTACTATAATATATCCTGCTAATTTTTTTATTTTTTCCTTAATTAAAAAAAATAATAATAAAACAAATAAATATTTCTTATGAATAAGGGGGAGATTGAGATAAAAGAGGACATAACAACATAACAATACAGGTCAAAGCATGACAATTTCAGCAACCTATTGCTTCACCGCAAGATAACCTGACATAATAGTAGTTAACGTAGTGTCTCTTTCCTTGAAATATTTGAATATAACTTCATATATGCTTTCATTTTTAATTGCATTGAAATGGATATTTTCTTTTTCTAGTTTTGTTTTGGAAAGATGGACTAAGAATTTGTCAGTCTTGTTCATCCTTTTTCCTCCAAGAATCACTTGGATTCTTTGATTCTTTGGAATTTTTATCAGTTTCAGCTTCATTGATTTCCACTCTGACCTTTATAATATTTTTCCTTCTAATAATCATAGATTTTACTTGTTCTTGCTTGTCTAACACTTTGAGATGCATCATTAAATTATTTATTTGGGATCACTTTAAATTTTAATGTGCTCATTCATAGTTTTAAACACTTTCCTCTTAGGACTGTTTTCCTTGTTTCCTATAGATTTCAGTATGATGTGTTACTGTTGGTCATTTGATTCTAGCAACTTTTCAAATTTCTTCCCTGATTTCTTCTGTGACCCACTTATTATTCATAATGTATTATTTAATCTCTGTGTGTTTCATCATTTCTGTGGTCTCTTTTGTTGATGTCTACTTTCATTCCACTATGATCTTGTTGTATGGGGGGATTCCTTCAATTCTTTTGTATTTATTTAAGTATGTTGTATGATCTAAGACACGGTCTATTTTGAAAAAAAGTTTCATGTGCTGCTAAGAAAAATGTGAATTCTGTTGTGGTTTAATGAAACATTCTTCAGATTTTAGCTAAGTCCATTTTTTAAATGACATTTAAATCTGTGAGATTACTTATTTTTTGCCCAGTTGACCTATTTGCAAAAGTGGGAACTGCAGTCCTCCCCATTTTGATTACATTAGTGGCAGTCCTTTTGTCTCTTAGTTTTTGTTTAGGAAGATGGGTGTGTAACATTTGGTGCATTTGTATTTGAAAATGTTATCTTTTCCTTTTGAATTTTTCCCTTTACTAGATAGCTACTTCTGCTTATTTCTGACTCTGGTTTCATTTTGTATACTTGCATATTCAGTCTTTGTGCTTCCATTTGGATGATGTGTATCTCTTGTGGTAATATATGATTGTGTTTTTTAAAATCTTATCTTCCAGTGTATGTCATTCAATTAGGAAATTAATGCCACTTACATTGAGAGCTATTATTGTAAGATATTTCTTGAATTCTATTATTGCATTATTTTTCCAGGACAGATTCCTTTATTTTTTCTTTAGTTTAACTACTAGTCAACTTATATGTATTCTTTCTTTTGGGCTCATTTTTGCTGATGATCTCTCTGCTCTATCTAAGACTCCTATAAGTATTTTCTGCAATGTTGGTTTTGTGATCATGTATTTCTTTAGGGTTTCTTTGTCATGAAAAGTCTTTAGTTCTCAGTCAGTTTTGAAGGCTAAGTTCTTCAGGCTATGGAAGTCTGCATTCACAGTTGTTTTCTTTTAGAGTTTAATAAACTTCATTCCAAGGTTTTTGGTCTTTAAGGTTTGTGCTGAGAAATATGCTGTTATAGGTTACTTGCTGTTTCACTCTATCAGTTTTTAATATGTTCTCTTTTCGTTGAATTTCTTGATTTTTTTCTCATGTTGTTTCTGGTGTATATATCTCTTATACCTGAATTTGAATTCTTTCCTTAGCTTTGGAAACTTCTCTGCTATGATTTTAGCGTGAAAATATTTTATACATTTTGAGTCCTATAATTTTTTCCTTTATTACTATAATTTTTAGATTACTTTTTTGACACCATCTAGCATTTGTTATATTTATTTGTCATGATATTATTGCTTTAGGGTGTCATTAATCACATCATTTTCTGTGTCTACCTTGTCTAGCACTCTATCTTCACATTGGTCTAATCTGCCGCCCTTGTTTTCTGTCAAATTTTTTATATCTTCAATTTCTTTTCATAATTTTTATTTATTTATCAAAATGGTCATTTATATATTGAATTGTTTGGTTTAATAAGTTTATTATTGTTTCTTCTTTCAGTTCACTAAACATGTTATTGACCAAATCATTTGTTTATTAATTAAATCTCCTTTAAACTCTGTACACATATGGTAAATTTTCTTATATGTTTCTTGATTTATCTCTTCAAATACTTTGGCCATTTGGATCTTTTAGCTTTTGCCTATAACTTCCTCTACTTCAGTGCCTAGGAGAGTAGGTTTTGGGGAGTTATGGGGTTTTGGAGTCATCTTGTTGCCTTGTTTCTCATGTTTTTATTAGCTTTATGCCACAGGTTGAAGATTAATTTAGATTAAAGAATGCTGTGACTACTTTGGATATACAGTTAGAGTCTGTTTCATTGCTATGTATTTTTGGGTTTTGCTTTGTTTTGGTGCCATATCTTTACTAATTTACTGAATGTAATGTTTGGAGGTCTTCTTAGTGCCCAACTTTCTTCTGGGGACTAGAAGGAGATAAAAGTTAGATAAAAATCCAACTTAATAAAGGGAATAGAACTATAAAAAAGCAACAAATAAAAACAAAAGGAAGAATAAAAGAAAAAATAAAACAAAAAGCAAAAGAAAGAACAGAAATAATCCCCAAAAGAGAAGAAAAATAAATGAGTCCAAAAAGTTCCTCCACTTTGTGGTGTTTTTTTGTGGAAGGGAAGTTTCTTTCTAGAAACTGTGTAATTGGAATCCACCAGATATGGAGAGTGATATTGAATCTCAAATAGAGTGCGTTGTGTTTCCACATCCACTTTTTGCTGTATGAATGCTCAGTCCTATCCCACTTTCCACTGGGCAGGATCAGTCAATTGTGTATTGTTTACCTCAAGACTACATTCAATACAATGGCTTTTCATGTTTGTGCCCTCCTGGGTGCCCTGAACCACTGCTATCCTTGGTACTTTTGTGGTCAGTGGGATTGTTAGGGGTACCACTTGCTCCAGAAGCCCCTCTATCTGTCCGTTCTTGGATGTAGTAAACTTCCAAGCTGAGGTCTCCGATCATGTTAGCATATGGCGAAAACAAACACTGAGTTCTGCCCTGGAAGTAGGCAGCAAGGGAAGCAAGACAGTCTTATGGACTTAATCCCAGAATTTCAGACACAATCCCATCAGAAAAATCACATGCCAATGCCCTGCCGTCTCACCATAGAGGGTGAAACCACTGTATCCACTGCAGCTTGTTCCACCACTGCTTAAACTTTTCAAGTATTCTATGATTAGCTGTCCTCCACTTTGAGACTATTTCTTGTGGTCTTCTTAGACCTAATGCTGATCCCAGAAACTCTGAATCATGGTTGTTCTATAACTCGTGATTCTCAGAATAGCTTAGTCTTAAACAATAGTCTTATTCTCAAAATGGCTCTTGTTTATATGACTCCCTTATGTGGTGAGTGCTGCAAAAGATTTCTTCTCCAATACTAGTTACCATGTGGTAGAACTAACTTACAGAGTAAAACCCAACACTTTATTTTCAAAGCACAATAACCATAGACTTTTATTCAGGCTTGTGCTGCTATTCCATTATGTATCATTGATACTGCTCATTTTCAATGGGCTAATGTTTGCAGAGACAAGTCTCCTTCCCTGGGAGCCAAGGTTAATGTTCCAGACTTCCCTGTTCTCTTCTCCAAGTTGTCTTCAGTTTCTCCAAATTATCTGTGATTTCTAGGTCTCCTGTCTGCTATTTCTTGATTCACAGAGCTCTTCTTCTCTTTCTCTTCATTAAGTTATTGTTTTCTAATGTCTCAATTACAGGTGTCAGACAGGCTGTGACTAGCTGACAGCTTTTACTCAGCCATCTTCTCCAAACTACAGTTTCAACTGAATGTGTATTTTTTTCATAACACTGTAATGTCAAAACTGATAAATTGAACTATTGTAAACCAGGGAATATTTGTATCAGGATAAATGAGTACATAATTGAAATTCTTGTTAATATCTGCTTAACTATCAGCAGTTTATGTTTTTAAATATATGGATGAATTCTTGGCTGTGGAGAATGTTTAGGGAAGCAGACTTGGATGAGTAATGATTTATAGATGTTAGAGTGGCATATGGTAAATATTTGTATCTCTGTGGCCTTATTTCCTATCATTTTGCACATACCTATCACTAAAATAGGTGAACAGATGAGGGATTATAGATATATGTCACCTAAAATGTGCCAGAATATGCTTCCAAAAATGTAGATTCTGTTTGTACTCACAATTTAAAATCTTGCTATAGTTTTGGAATAATACTCCAAGTAATGTTTACAGCGAAAGTAATACTGCCAATAAAGGTCCTAAAAGTTGAGAAACCATGAAATCCTCACTCCTTTTAACCTTATCAATTCAAATTTTAAGAAGCAGAGAAAAAATCCGTGGGTTGAATACGTTGTACATATGTATGAACTGGTTTGATTCTGAAGAGCTCCTGGTCATATGCAGTAGAAATGAGACAAATGAAGCAAAGCTAATGTCTACATCTAAATACCTCTTATTTCAACTCAGACTAGATTTTACTTTGCATTTTTCTTATTGGACAAGTATGATTAGGGTAAATGTTTTACGACTTGGAGAAAACTGTAAGTTGCACTGCTTCTTCAGTTTTCAATTTTGAAGAGTATGATGGCCTAGATGGGACAAAAAGACCTAGGATGTACGAATGAAGTGTGAGCTTCTGAAATAACTTATATGACAGATAAAAACTACAAAACAAAAACTAAAGTAGTATTGAACTCAGTTTGGAAACAGGCAAATCCTAATGAGCTTTTTAAGATTTCTATAGCTGAAATAACCTGTACAATATAAATAAAACAAATTTAATGTTATATCGTATATTTAAACTGTGCAGGTTGGACATCATTTGGATTTGGAATGAAACAGTAAGAGATTATATTCATGGATAACCAACAAGATAAGGCTATTGCTACAGCCTCAGCCAATGGAGAAAACACTCCGATTAATGGGATCAAAGAAAATGGTAAGGGAACTTAATTATAGTAAGCAATATTTCTCCCAGTGATGCTTTGTTGTTAGTATGAACTTTTAGTACCCACAAAGTTGGGATAGATTGAGTTTAGGATGAGGCTAATGTTAATCTAACTTTATTCCACTAGGTCTTTAACTGGGTTACAAGGATTTCTGAGAGCCATGAACTCTAACCCCATTACTCTCCCAGATAATGTGTGACAGATGTGACAGATACAGGTCCACAAAACTCTTAGTGCATTATAAATATGCTCTGATGTGAAGCTTAGAATTTCTAGATTCACTAGTAACATCAAAAACACCTCCAATATGTACCTGTGCCTCATAATTCAAAACCATGAGTGTCCCATCTGAGCATTTCATACACATGAGCATGCGTGTGCCCCCTCTACACACAGCCCAAAGCCTTGATTTACCAATCCCTCATCATGAGGAGGGTTCTACCTTTCTCTAAGGAAGAAGCTGGGCCTTAAAAATTATTTTCATTTGCTAATAATGATCAGTATGAAATCGAAGTTGTTGTTTAATGATTCGATTGTACCTTGTGACATGTAGAGAAACACATGTTTAACTTATGTAACAAGATCAAGCAACAGAAAATGTTCAAGGAAAGGTTAATGAGTGTAGTCTAAGTCCCTTAACTTTATTTCTGTCATTTCTTTCCCTATTCTGTAGACTCAGAGGACCAAGATGTGGCAATGAAGTCATTTGCTGCTCTAGAAGCAGCTGCACCAATCCAGCCTATACCAGTAGTACAAAAAGAGACCTTAGTGTTTCCCAGGGGTCTCCTGCCTCTGCCCTCTAAGAAGCCCTGTGTCCAGAGCCCTCCATCACCTTTGGGCCTGGTTGAAGTACCTGAGCATGCTGCTAATGGTGATTCTGTGAATGCCATCTCCCTTACATCTGGTGTTGCAAAAGGTTTGAACACATGGTCACTACCCAATGAGTGTGATAAAGCTCCATTTGCTATAATGGAGCCTGCAGGCATGTCAGCTCTGAATGGAGATTGCCTCATGCAGCCTAGCCGGACTTGCTTGGGCTGCTTCATGGAATCCAAGGAGGCAGTAGAGCCTCAGCCAGGGATCAGTCTTAAAGTCAGTGATCTAAATAGAGATTATGAAACATGTGCAGTCTCTGATATAGGGATTCAGTGCATTAATGCTGGAGAAAACATGAAATATGGAGAACAGCTGCTCTCAGACCAGCTCCTGAGCTTCCCACTGCATAAATCAAGGGCAGGAGATAGGAGAGAAGCTGAGAAATCTGACATTGACTTGGAAGATCCAGCTCAGAAAAGTTATTATGAGGCATTACTGTTAGATAAGTGCAATACAGAAGAAGCTTTGCTTGCAAATTCAAATCAGGATTGGGGTTATTTTGAGACTTTCATTAGTGAGAGTAAAATTGAACTGCTTGACCTCTGTTCCAAGAATGAACTATCTGTCAATTTGTTCTCTGAAGAAGATGTAGATAACTACATGTTTGATGATGATGAGTCAACCCTGGGCAGTGATGTCTGCTCCCTAAAAATTCGGTACGAGTCCTTTCAGGACAATGTTCGAGACAAAACTAGCCTTCTAATGCAGGAAGATGCCCAGTTCAACTTTTTTCCCAGTGTTTTTTCTACCTGTCCCAAGAGGGAGTCTAAAACTGGGGCCATGAAGCAGAGCAGTGATCTTTCCCAATTCAAGGTCCCTGATATGAACATCATCTGGGGGGAGGAAGATAAAAACTTGGACAAGAAGAAAGGCAAAGTGGAAAGACATGAAGATAAAAGTGTAGAGAAAAAAGATGGAAAAGAAAATGGGGGGAAACCTGCCTTAAACAAATTATGCAATGGGATTGAGGTTGGGCAATTTAAGAATCCAAAGCAAGGCCATCTTGCTAATTCCTTAGAGACCTCAGGAAATTTCAGTGATGACAGTTCCTTCATTGAAGTCTCATATGATGCAATGGGAGACATAAAGGATTGTAGCCGCTATATGGCTCGGGACACTATTTCTACAAGCTCCTCCTCCCAACAGAACTATGGACTGAGAGCCAAGAGGAAAGTCAGATACAGTGAAGATTATCTGTATGACGTTGACTCAATAGAGGGTGAAAAAGTGAATGAGAGGAAGGAATGGCTGCCAGGTTGTTCCAAAGAGGAAGATGATGATGAATGGTGCCCCAAGAAGAGAAGAAAAGTAACTCGTAAGGAACCGCCAGTTATCATCAAATATATTATCATCAATCGTTTTAAAGGTGAGAAGAACATGCTGGTGAAGTTGAGTAAAGTGGATGCTAGTGAGACAACAGTGAATCTGAGTGAAAATCAACTGAACAAATATGCCAAGCTAGCACCTTTGAAAGGTGTCTGGCAGAAGAAGAAAAAGCAGAGAAACAACCACCCAGAATGTGTTAAGACCCCCTTATGCCAAAAGCAAAGCTTTGAACCAGGTAGCTTTGAAGTGTCATTTCTCCCACCTGCTCGTAAACGAAAATCTAAACTCAGCAACAGGCACAGAATTCAAAGAATCCCCTCCATGGAGACTTCAGTAAGTAATAAGCAGATTTCCTTTGGCAATGATGAAAGACAAACAAATAATCACAAAGAAAATGGAGGTCTAAAATGTACTCTGAAGCCAGCACCTCTAGCTAACCCCATCTGTGCAAGTGGATCACATTTAAATGATATCACAAGCCCTGATTCAGTGAAAGTCAAAGTCCAAGACACAGAGTTTAAGGGGCCAGAGAGAAAAGTGCTCAATAAAATCAAATTTAAAAGCGAAGCTAGGTTGAAATCTAAGAAAATCAAAACTGGGCAAGAAAGCAAGTCAGTAGTTCAAATGAGCCCTCTCTTGGAAGACCAGTCTTCCAAGGCTAATTTTAAAAGTGAACTTATTCCTGGGACTTTAAAGAGTTCCCATTTGCCGGAACTTCATGAGACAAAAGTTGGTAAGAATGCCTTCTTATCAACCACCTGTTCTTCTGAAATATCTCTGTCATCTGCTAGTGTTTCCACTAACATACCTGTTATCCCTGGAGGATACCTGCAGACATTGTTAGATGCTTCTGACTTGTCAAATAATACTAGTATGTCATACTTCACCCACAGTTCTCAAGAGCAAAATGAAGACAGCCTTACTCAAAGAGAAAAATCATTTGTACCTCTCCAGCCAGCCCAGGGCTGTGTGATCTCCTCATCCTCTGACTCTGAGCTACAGAAGTCATCTCATAACTTCAAAATGGAATCGAGCAACTATGAAAATGTGTGGCCTAACAAGACTACTTCTGGCTCCCAGGAATTCATGGCTGAAGTCTCACAAGAGATAGCCCCAAACCAATCCAGTGAATTTGAAACCTCCCACATAGTTTCCATGGAAAATAACCTCACATCTGCAACATACAGTAGACTTTGCATCAATAGTGGTGGCAATAGTTGCAACAAGGCTCTGTATGCCTCTGTACAGAACAGCCAACTTCCATCAGATGACACTTATCAGTTATGTCACTTTAGTAATGGAGAGATCTGCTTTCCTTTCCAGCAGGGCTCAGTGAGTATGAATGATGGTCGGCTCTTCAGCTTTGACACAGTGGCCCCACTCTCTGCCAGCTCAAGTAATTATTGCTCCTTAAACTTGAAGTCTTCTGAAAAAGATGGTGATGATGATATCACTGATGACTTCTTGGCCCACTGTAGCCCCAAATTAGTGATCCAGCAAAGCATTGATGAGATAGCACCATTAAAGGAGTCTACTGACCTTCTGGATATCTCCAACTTCACTCCTGACAAATTCCGACACTCTTCCCTCTCAGAGATGTCCCCACCTGATACTCCCAATCTTTCCCCTCAGATTAACAGATGTGAGAGTACAAAGACACTGAAAGGGTTCCAAGAAAGGGTTCCAGGATTATTGGGCAACATGGAGAAAATAAAGTGGGACTGTAGTAGTCTTTCACAGCAGGTCCAAGTGGATGATGGATTTACATTAAATAAACATCAATTTCAGTTCCATATGTTCAATGATGAAGAGTCTGTCAGCTTGATCCAAAAAAATCCTTGCCTATCAACATTTAATGATCCAACCAGTCAGATTAGTACCAACAACAAAACACAAAAATCAAAAAAGAAAAGTTCACCCACCAAGAGTGGGACTGTGAATCAAAGTTCTTCTCAGAAAAGCAACAGGAAAAAGTCCCTAAAAGCCAACAATAGAGGAATTGAAAAGCCACCTGGCAAAGCCTCCCGCCAGATCCCTAAATCAACAAAGAAAGGGAAATATATAGCTTCCAACACAGGAGAAAAAGTGCAAATTGGCTTTGGCCGCGGAGGACAAACCAATGGTGTATCATCCACTGGGAAGCCATTGGTTGAATGTATCCAACATAGTGGCCCCATCACCTCTATGAAAATGCCAAGTGAGAAGGGACTTTCTGATAACTGGGCTTTGGGAAAAGACAGCAGCCCAGGCTGGAGTGATATCAGCATGGGTACTAACACTAACAACATCCTGGATGATGACCAACGGGAATTTCAAGAGCCCTCCTATATCTTGTCCAATATTGCCTCTGGTATGGCAGATGTGCAGAGATTCATGATGGCCTCCATAGAGCCCCTTTGGGAACCCATTGGACATCATGGAGACTCCAACATAGTCTATTCCCCTGATTCTAATAGTCTAAAATTAAAAACCCTCAAAATATTGGCTGGCACACCACAGGAGTCTAAGAAAAAAGTCAACAGTGGGTTCTCAGGAGCCACTAAGAATCCCAGGTCAATCAAGAGCATGAGCAAAAGCAATGTGAAAACAACAATAGGTGATCCTGGCCACACAGACATGCCTGGTTTTAATGAGGACAACTGCTCTCTCTTCTTTGATAAAAAGTATAGTAACATGAGCACTTTAGGCAATAATGGACCAACACACAAAAAATTGTATCGTCACAAATCAAGTTCCAAGGTCCTAAGAGATGAGAAATATAAGGGGAAGCGCGTGGAGAGAGAACAAGTCCACAAGGATGAGGTGGGGACAGCTTCTTTGGAAAAACTGAGGTAATACTCCACCAGAATGGCTGAGATGATGCACCCTTAAATTTCCTACTACCTGCTGAGCCTACAATTCCTGATTTTTCCTTCTTGAAAGCAAAAGTTTGCATGAGAAACTGTACCATTCTCTTCTTTTTCAAATTAAAAAGGAAAGGAAACAAAGTGCATGAAAATGCCTGTATTTTTAAGCCACCTGCAAGGTTGGGCAATTTTTTCCTGACTTGGCTAGGGATAAGCTGTGACAAAGCTACTTTTTTCTTCTATTCAGCATTAATTTTTACTTCTTAAGAAAATAGAACTAAAATGTGTTCTTAAATGATTTTGGGAAGTGAAGGGCTTTAAAGTAAGATTTAAAGTGATACGATTAAAAATTTATGTAGATTAAAAAGTCAAGATCATTTATAAACAAAGAGAGGACTAGTTGGAAAGCAAAATCACAACACATGGCAATTAGAAATGATTTCTAGTGCCTCCCTTCTATCTGTATTTTTCCTGTGCATCATACAGCATCTAGTATGATGCTTAAATATTAGATTGTATGATCCATTTGAAGGACATACACTAAAACTAACTAAGATGGCATAAATTGTTTGATTTTTCTGCAGGGACTCTGAATACAATCTCCTAAAAGCAGAAACAACATTTCGGGTTTTACCTGTATTTGAAGAAGAGACTTGCATTTTCCAGAAAGACATTTGATGTTTGTGCTTATTTTCTTTCAAAATATGCCTTGTGGTATGTATGTCACCATGTAAGTGCTTAAAAAAAAGAATTTTAAATTGTGGGAATAAGTCTTTGAAAACAAACTTAAATATGATGTTCTATGTAAAAGACTTTAAAAGTCATAATGGTTGTAAAAGTGGTTTATCACTATGTACCCACAAGGAGAGAATGGAAAACGTTGTGCCAAACTACAAACAAGTGACTGTATTGTATATATTTTTTACTTCCTATATCAACATTGGCTGTGAGTATTTGGGGAAGCTTGTCCCTTTAATTTACTAGAAACATTCCAGTGACTCTTGCCATTAAATACTCCCACTTATGTGGCTAGCACCTGTAGATCACAGTGGAAAAATATGTTGTATTACATGACTTACCAAAACATAAAGGATACTATTTGACACGTGCCAAAATTCCTTACCTCATCTTATGGATTCACCCAATGGTTTAAAGCTCATTAATCAATTTTAAATATATATATATATACACACATATATAAATATATTCATTCTTTTACAGTTTTAAACACTACCATCCTGTGGAAACATGAACGGTTAAGGCACAACAAAGGTTTGTCTGTTGCATTGTCTAAGGGTCTAAATATTAGAAGTGTTTGAAGGTCATAAAATTAAATCCATCAGGGACCTGAGTATATGCATTAAAGAGTCTTTTACAAGGAAACAAAACAGCTACTTTGAAAGTGTGTTTTCTAAAAGCAAAATCTGTGATTGAAAATTATTTAATATGCAAAGTTATATTGCTGATACTTTATATTTCAGTTTTATATATTTTAAAATAGTCTGGGATAAATTATAAAATATCTATAAATTTGACACTAAATGAAGTGCACAGATTGCTTCTATTTAAGAAGTTTCTTAAGTGTTTTATTTTGGTTTTGTCAAAACTGGACTCATACTATGGTATTTGTGTTCTTTAAGTATTTAATTTTGCAATGCCAATGTCTTTTAAAATGAAATATTAAGGCATCTCAGTTGAACAAAATTTTTCTCCTGTTAGTTAAAAACATGTAATAGCATATAAGTGAAACAAACAGTAGTAACAACGAATTAATTGTTAATCTCAGGATGAGTAGAATTTTATGCCACACACTAAATTTAAATCTGGATTATTAATATTAAATTTGAAGTCACATTTTTAATTCATTCTCCATCTTTTTTTAATAATTTCACAATGCTGAACATTTTTCCCTACTAGCCTTTACTTCCCCTTTATTCACCACTTGACTTCTAAATTTGATGTCTTTTCCTTGCACAGTTGAAGGTGTCTGATGACTGATACTTTATGGCACAAATGAGATAATGGATGTGGAAGCACTTTGTAGATCAAAAAGTGCTATGCAGATGTAGGGGATTAATATTATTAATGTTGTTGTTGATTGTTGTTGTTACTATTCTTACTAATACTGTTCTAACCTATTAACTTGTGAATATATAGACTGGAGTGGGAGGGTGGAGAATAAGTGGGTAGGGGGAATGGGGCTTAATAAAAAAGGGAACATGTTTCAAAAGGAAAAATTTAAACAAAATCTGAACCTACCTAGTCATTGTCATCTAAATATATTCACAAAAAGAGAAGCAACACTTTTGAAAGTAGAGAGAAATGGAAAGAAACTTGTCACATATGTAAGCAGACACACTTTCCAGCTCATGATTCCTTTCACCAGCCAGCTCTCCTACTACAGCTAGATACTAAAATCAACAGGCTTGTATTCTTGAATGTGTGTTTTCTCTGCATCAGTCTCTTGTATGTGTGGGGACAAGTGGGTGAGGATCAGTTTATGAGGCTAGTTGAGACCCATTTCTATACTCCATGTGCAGTGAGCCTAGAAAATTATCTAGTGAAAAGTTACCAGATGAAATGCCTCTTCTACCTTACAGCTCCTATCCAAAAGGGGAGATAATCAAATTGGAACACTTTCTTCTATTACTCCAATCTGTAGCTAGCTATTGATATTAAATGTTGTGGATAGTTTCTAGTTACTTGTTTTGTTTTGTTTTTGCTCTGTTTTGCACCTGAATTTTGGCTTGAAATCACCATGTAAGCTTGTATTGTGATCCCCAAGAGTCCATGCTTCAAAGTCTCTTATGGACTTATAGTAATAGTGTTTTCCATGTAATCGAAAGGTGGCTATTTAAGAAGAAATAAAGAAAATATTCCATAAGTACAATATGTTTTATGAAAATAAATATGGAAAAAGTTTTTCCAGGTTTTTAAAAGTATCATTTCAGATTTTCAAAATAGGATAACATCAGAGTAGAATGGCCTGAAACTGTTGGAAACAATTTCCATTCCAGAATTGCTATCACGAGTCCTTTGGAGTAGATGTTCTTTTAGTTGCTCCTATGGAGCCCACTAAGGGCCAATTCTAGGGCATGGTTTGTCCCTTTTTCCAAAGATTTGTCATTCTAAAGCACCTTTTTTGTTGGCCTATAATACATTATATGTTTTTAACACATGAATGAATGATTTATAACTGCTGGTTTGTACTGAAATATAACCAGAAATTAAGTTGAAAAGTGAGCAGTAGGCCAAGATGTTTATTCTCTTAATTGCACTTAATGTCTCTCTCAGTACACTATGGTCTGAGTTTTCTAGCATTTGCATTTTGCTGGTCTTGTTTCTGCTCTCATAATTCTTTTATTCCTCTCACAACACAGAAGGAAAAACTTATTGGAAATCTCTAATTCAACCAGCTGCCTTAGCGGAGTGAGGGCCAATGTAGAAAAGTAGTGTCTCGCCCTATCACTGATATCTCAAGTCAGAAATATTAAATTTTCCTTTAGTCTGAAATTTATAATAACATTCTTATTACCTCTCCTCTCTGACAAGCTGCTTTCTATTAAAAGTCTTTCATTTAATCTTTACTTTCCTGGAAATGTATCCTTCCTTATTCTTCTCAGTGTCAGTATTTGGTCTTAGAATTTTTCCTCTTTGGTGGTGTTATACTCTACCTCCCCAAACTGACAGTTTAAAGACATTAATGACAAGATTTTCTTTTGGAAGTTTAAAGGGGAAGCTTCATATTCTTAATCACTTGTAATTGCCTTGGCAATTTTCAAATTTAATTTTATACACACAAGCAGTCACATCACTGAGGAAAGTTAGAAACCCTTTTAACTTAAAGATTGGTAGAAAAATAGGTCTAATCTCCTGCCCTGGTTAGGTGCTGTCCTATGTGGAACAGGGTGCTGATACAGTGACCCTGACCAAGGGTCTTTGAGACTTTGGGGGTTGGGCTTGATCTATGACAACTGGCTTGAACCAGTGGCCATCCTGTCTCTCCAGTGTCTCAGATACCAGCTGCCTCACGTATGCTGCTTCCTCCCAGCTTTCCCTTCTGACTTCTTGCTACTCTGTGCAATTATGTGTTAAGGCCTTACCTTTTCTTAAAAGTCTAAATGCTTTCAAACCTCCTGTACTACATTGACCATCACTTCTTCAGCCATTTCCCTGAAGTCCTTGGTGCTATTTGGGCTTTTGTGACAACTTTCACCTTTTCTGAACTTTTTCCTTGCTAGGAAGCATCTCTGTGTGTGCAGGGGAGGGGGGTGGGGAAAAGGGAGGGGGCAAGTGTGTGTGTATGTGTGTGTTTGAGTGTGTGTGTGTGTGTGTGTGTGTGTGTGTGTGTAACAGAAGTATGAAGGATGCTTCAAAAGATGTAAACAACTCTAGCCAGCATCCTCCGTTCTATTATGTGAAGTTCTGAAATTTTAGTGAATTTCTGTTTAGTGGGTTCAAATTAGCATTTACTGCCTAAAGGAGGAAAACCATATCTAAGGACCTCTTAGATTGCTCCTACCAAGCTAACCATGTGATACAGATCCATCACACCTTCAGTTTACAGATGCTCTCAGAACAATCCCACAAAATGAAGAGAGCTGTTTCTAAGCTGAAGAGGCAAATGGAAAACTAGCTATTCCTAACCATTTCCAGAATCAGAAATCATTATTTTCTCCTGAACTATTGACAAATCACTTCATTCAAGGAGTTTTTTTTTTTTTAAACTGGGGATTGAACCTGTGACCTCGTGCTTACCAGGCAGGTGCTTGTGCTGCTGAGCTAAACCCCCAGCTTTGGAGGTTTTTGTTTTTCTTTAGGAATTTTTTAATGACTGGCATCACTACAGAAATACATCATTTTTACAAACTAAAACATATGGATTTGGTTTGTTTTCTGAGCTTGTAAGTATGTTTAGAAGGTTTAGTACCAAAATCAAACATTTTAGCAATGAATAGAGATTTTATCAACACACTGTAGGCCAAGGGTTTTGTAATAGTTTTTAAAAGACCCAAGTAAGCGAGAAAACTTTGAGTTGGGATGTTTAAATTAGGAGAAATACTGTCATCCATTTGAGGGTCCTCAACCAGCATGATATTATTTTAATGACAGTATTGAGGATACCTTTTAAGGCACATATTTTGCTTAGCATTAAATAGTAGCTACAATCATGAAGCAGAGCTCCCATTGCAACTACATGATACTTGAGATGTATTCTTGGTTTGAGAATCGTAACTAAGAAATAAAACATTGGGGCAGGACAATATAAAAGAGAGACTTAGTACAATGTTTAAGGTGTAAATGAGGCTTTTAAAATCAGTATCTGGACAAATAAATACTAAAGACATTGAAGAAACACTTACCAAGATGAAAAGGATGTCCATCCAATAGACTCGGGGATTTTTGAGTCTTATAAGGGCATTTCATTCAAAATGAAGGAGATATCTAAATCATTCTGCCTCTTTGATAGATGCCTAGTTTTACAGCACAAAAGAAAAGGATTGAATGAAAACTAGAAGAGGCCTTTGTTTTCCATTCCCAGGGAGGAGAGTGGAAATGTTAAGAAGCTCCACTGGGATACCTGTAGCACTGACTAGAGTTTGTTGCCTACAGATTTGAATGTACTAGTCCTTAATTTCCATAGAACTGAATGCACCTCTTTACTGATTTATGGTGCTAAAGGAAACGATTATCCCCATTTTATTCTTCCTCAGCCCCTTAAATATTTAAGAAAATTAAAGTAAAAGAATTTAGAAGCCCTTTTTATGAATGTAACCTAAGTTTATGTTTGACATATGACACTGCAACTTTAAAATGTTAAGAAATTATTTGCCTTTTTTCTTTTAGAATTAAGCTTTATAAATAACCTGTAGAGTCAATTGAAGTATAAAGCTTAAGGATCACTCTTAAGACGCCTACAAAATCTTGTATATTTTTAAGTGTGCCAATTTGTAACATATTTTGTAAGTGTATATTTTTCTTAGAAAAGTGCTGTGAAGTGTCTGTATGTGAGAGGTTTCCTTTTTCTGCACCACTAGGTGCTAATAAAAGGATATTTACTTCAAAGTTTCTGGTTTTAGAAACCACAATACAAAGAAAAATACACTTTTGTTGAGAATTTTGTAACACAAAAGATGTTGTGAAAGAGTATAGTGATCTTGTGTAAAAGAAAATGAACATTTGTGAGCTTCTTGCTGTTTTATAGATTTTCTTGTAAATTATTCTTGTAACACCTCTGGCTTTGTTGTTCTTGTTGCAAAAGTTTTAAATATTTGTGACTGAATGTATGGTGAAACTGTCATAATGTTACCTAGCTGAGTTTTGTTATTGTTATGGAATAAATAAAAAGAAAAGTTTAAAATTCTGCTTTAGAATCATATGTAACAGAAATCAAACCATTTCTAATTAAATCTACATCCCAAATAAAAACTTCATTGATCTAGAGCAGTGTTTCTCAAACTATCTCTGGTAAAGTACCAATTTTTCTTACAAGCCACCATTGAACATTGTAAAACACAGTAGAAATGAACTTCTAAAAAGGTGAAATGGAGTAAAAATATGCAAAATAAAGCCCAAAAATATTAGATTTGACCTATGAAACTACATTTCAAAACAAACACATAATAGGCAAATAGAATTGCAAATAGTTCATGATAAGTGGTTGCCATTAATGGCTTTAACCATATTCCAACACTTTGAATAGGATCAACAGCATTACTATTGTCTGAGAACTTGTTAGGAATGCTAAACTCCAGGACTTATTTAAAGTCTGCTTAATCAGAATCTGAATTTTAACAAGATGACTAAATGATTCTGTTCATGTTTAAAGTTTGAGAAGCACTGGGCTAGTATTCTGCAAGAAACTCTTTTTCCCCTCAAATTGGAGAATTGATTTTTAGTGTTTCCCATCTATCTTCAAAGACCTTAAAATACATAGTGTCCTTTTTTTGTGATCCAGATGGGTTTTGCAGAAATGCAACCTTCTTGAAGTGTAAAAACTGTTGTTGAAATAATAAATGTTGATTTGCCTGGTACCCAAAAACATGTCAGATTTCCATAATTCCCTACAGTTCCTACATTATTTAACTTAGCCATTCAGCCTGTTTCTGTGTGTGTGTGTGTGTATGTGTGTGTGTGTGTGTGTGTGTGTATGTGTTCCTAGAGACTGATCCCTGTAAATACAAAGCTACAGTTCCTACATTATTTAACTTAGCCATTCAGCCTGTTTCTGTGTGTGTGTGTGTATGTGTGTGTGTGTGTGTGTGTGTGTGTGTGTGTGTTCCTAGAGACTGATCCCTGTAAATACAAAGCTACCTCATCAACCCTTTTTAACTTACTATGATTTTTATTTTATTATTTATATTATAAAAATTCCCTAGCCTGTGCTCAAGATTGGGATACTACTCCCTCAGACTCCTCAGTAGCTGGGAGTGTAGGTGTGCACCAAAGCATCAGCTTCAGGACTTTCTCAAGTTCTACCCCTACTGTGCCCACTATTTTAATAATTGCTATGTCTAAAAAATTGGACTTTAAAGTGCCTAAACTACTTGAGTTGCCAATCAGAGCCTAGAGTCCTTGTTGACCATGGCAAGATCACTATGATATACATAAACCACCTGCTGCTTTCTTGGTTTTGAGATTTGAATTCCATTGCTCAAAAATTGTGTATCAGAGAGTGCTACTCTCTTCACTGGAACAACTCATCTGATATAGGGGAAAAAGTCTGCTAGATGTCAGATGCAGCAAGTTTTTGTTCCCTGAAATCAAAGAATGGAGTTCAAAACTATGAAAAATTTACTGAGAGAGATAGCTCCTAAGAGACAGGAAGGGGCTTGAAAGTGATTTGCCATGAACCTCACTTTGAAGAGAAATTTTTATAGAGGAAAATCATGAGATAAATACAAAATCATGAGGTGTGTTATGTGGGTAAAAACTATGATCAATCAATAAGATTACAAGTATAGCCTCTTAGGTAATTTTGATTCATTGTAGAGGTAGGTCACATGGCAAGAGTATGTGGAAAGAGCAAAAACATTTTTAGGAAAGAATCATCAGGAGGCCCTGGTCACTCATCTGGGTGATTCATATCTATGTAGACTTTGTTAGACTAGGTGATACCAATTATAGTACAATCTTCAAGCTATTGCTTATCCTTTGAAGAGCCATGTAGGCCTGCTTGTTCCATCTGTGAGGCCTGGCCTTTGACAGATTCACCTCTTAGCCACAGTTGTAATGTGTTCTCATCTTCTGCACTGACTTCCTTTAGGGACTAGCCCTGTCTGACTGCCTATAATATTTCTTCCTAACTTAGCCATCTATATTATTCAACTCTGTGAAGAGGTACTCCTAACTGCTATGAACAGACAAGCAGTAATGACCACTCTGTATCAGTGACCTGTCCAAGATTCCTAACTGCCTGTAAAAGGGATATAGCAAAAGGTTGAAATAAGAAAAAGACAAATTTAGTAATACATGATGGGGAATTGGGAGGTCAATGCCTCAGAATGGTCAGAGACAAATATACTTTAAACTAGTCACTATATATTAGCCAGTGTAGGAGAAGAGCTAGGGTGCTTTTCTTGGAGCAACATAGAGGCTGTGCTAGAATAGGTGAGTTTAACATCATAAAAGAAACAACCCAAGACACATCCCCATCCCTGAGTGCTAATTCACTGACTAAGAGAGAAAAGTGATTTCCACATTTCAAAACTGGCACACAAGGCAGGCAGGGTAAGGAGGGCCTAGGACATACTGTCAAATTTACATTTCCTAGTCCCAAACATATCCCCCTTTTTGTTTTTGTAATTACAGCAGTTAAAACAGCATATAGGCTATGCTCATCATCATATCAACAAATATATTTTTATGACTTTGTGAAAAGTTCTGTTGGATTTCAGTGTGTGAGCCTCTTGAGTGTTTTATTTTAGTTGATCTCCATGCCATGTGTTTTACAGCCTGCATGGATCTCAGTACTTGAAGTGTTGGCTTTCCTCCATGGTCATCCTTAAGAATGCTTGCACTGGAAGGATGAAGGGGAAACATGAGACTGGGATGTTCCTCTCTCCTTGGCTGTGTTCTGGAAGGTCAGCCATGATGGTGATCAATTGTCTGTTAACCCACAAGCAAATCCTTGACCCCATGTTATTAACTGCAATGGGCTCTCCCACTTCCTGTTTGTATGTTCTTTTATAAGACTTGAGACATAGATGTGCTTGTCAGGTTTGTCCTTTTGCCAAATAAATTCTGATGAAGAATATTTACTTTGTGCAGCCAGGTTTACAAATTTTAAGACAAAAATGTCAAGATTATTTTTGCATGTGGAAGAAATCATGCTCTCCTTCTTTGCTTCTATAATTGTGTCTCTAGCCATGGCTGTCTTCTGTACTGACATTTCAAGGCCTAGTCTTATCTTATTGCCTGTAATATGTTTAAATAACTTATCCACCTAATAATTTCCTTTTGAAGAAGTATCTCTAGCTGTATTTAGAGGAGAATAGATATATATTTAATCTTATCTACTTCAAGCTGAAATGTGTCAATGTAAGTGGAGACTAGACTGCAATCAGGAGCCTTCTCTAGAGAGGTAATCTAGTGGATCTCAGATAGATGTCATGTCATAGTTTAGCAGGTAAGAATTCTTACAGATATTATTGTAGTTTATTCTAAATAGACCATAGCAGTGGTAAATTACTGGCGTAGCTGGAAATTTCCAAAAGAGGTTAGTGATTGGAGGCCCTTCCTATACATAACTTATTATTCTGTCTTTTTATGTATATTTTGCTAGAAGTTCAAGATCAAGTTAAACTGAGAGCTGTACTATTTAAAATTAAGCTTTTGCTACCATCAAGGTCAGTTAAGTCTCCTCAAGATTTACCTTGAAGTCAAGCACAGAGCTTCTCAGCTCCTTTGTCATTGCCAGCTATCAGGATGAATCATGGCCTTTTCTTGACCAATTTTTCTATAAAAACATGGGAGACTTTTCCCCCAGTGATCCTTCTTAGACAGAGTGTTCACTGTATACCCAGCCAATGTGTCTTAACAATCTCCTTGGTCAGGAGATTATGTGTCTCACCAGAATTGTTGGATATCATACAAAATGTTCCTTCATGTCATGGGTTCTTGTGGAACTTGAGGACCAGGGCCAAAATATTGGTTATCTTCTTTGCCCAGTTGCCTTTCTAGATTTGGTTTCTAAACCTCAGTTGTTGAACACCCAGAAGAAAAGAATAATGACATTGTAGTGGGATCAGTGAGCAGAATTATTACAATTTTATCTGAATATCTAGCATTTTGAAATATAAAATGTAGCCATAAATCTGTCATTTCTTAACAAATATTGATGTTGTAGTTGAATCCCTGTAGGGTTAGTAGAAAACAGTAACATAGATTTACAGATATAAATTGAGATCAAAAGCAATACATAATATTTTAGCATAACAGACGTGATGACATTTTTGTGTCACACTTAAATCTCAGTCTTGGTATAGAATAACCTTTTGATGATGATTAAAGCAAGCATATCACAATAATATATATTGAAGAACATTTGTTGGGGTGTCTTCCATAAAGCTATGGAGATTATTTGGGCTTCTACCAATGAACAAGAACTGAAAAACTTTCTCTAGGCAGCTGCTTCCATATTCATCAATTGGAGTTCAACAGTTCCCCTACACCTGAAGGATCCCCATTTAATTACCTTAACAAATTTCTGACAACTTACAAAAACCATATCATAACACTTAGCACATAACTTTGATCAATCAGAGATTGTTGAGTTGTAATACATAAAAAATATATGTATTATATTTATAAAACCAATTTTACCATCATTTTGACAGCTGGCAGATTAGGTGAAAAAAAATTTTTTTTTAAAATTTTGATGACAGGGGCTGGGGATTTAGCTCAGCAGCATAAGCACCTGCTTTGCAAGCAGGTGGTTCTGAGTTCGATCCCAGGTACCAATAAAAAGAAAAAAGAAATAAAAGTGTAAAAATAAAAAAAATTGATGACATTTTATCTATAAGCCACTTTAAATTAGATAAATGCACCAAAATTCAAAATTGTAGGAAAAAAAGAAAATAATGCGCTCAAAGAAAACTTGTTTATAATTGGACAAGCAAATACATGAAAGACAACTTCTTTATAAAATCAGAGTGCACTTAAATATGTTAGCCAATTTGAATTATAATAATTATAGTTTTTAACTGTTTGACTATATATACACTAGTCAGAACCTTCCTCATTTATGTATGTCAAGTCTCTTGACAGAGAGGCCTCTTGTAATAAGAATCAGAAGGAATAAGACCTTTTACACTAGTGAAAGCAAAGACAGCCATTAAAGTACGTTTTGGGTGATAGTATACCTGATTGGAATTTCCAGATATACTTATTATTCATTGCTGTTTTGATAGCTATATTTTTAAGATAGTCACAACTGATGGTAAAACTTGTTTTAATAACCACATGTAACAGTTTTCTCTAATGGGACAGATTATTAAAGGTAATTTTAACTGTTTAACAGATGAGCAATATAGCAGTTAGGAGTGCAAGCATTACAAAAAAAAAAAAAAAGAAGAAGAAGAAAATCATTCAGGTGATTGAGCCAAACCCTGCACATTAACTAGGATGACAACTAAATGAATAGTCTGCTGTAGGCCTTCCTAAAAAAGTAGACAATTCCTACCATATTCCTTTTTGGCAGTCTTGGTAGAGGGTTCTACATGCTGTATAGGTGAGTTGAATTTTGTCCAAGGTGTTGCTTTGATGGGCAGTAGCAAGTCCTTTTACATTGGGTGAGAGGAGAAATCCTGATGCTTAGCTGCTAGAAGGCTCAAACCAGTGATTTGGGGTCTTTCTCAAATTGGGAATAAGCTGTTGATCTCCTATGGAGTTGGTCGGTCCATAGGCGTGCACATCAGGATGGAATCCATAATGTCTCTCCATTTCCTGTGAGAATATATGCACACGTCCTCTGCCCCAATTTAAGAGTGGTGCTGGACAATTTCAAACACTTGTTTGGAGATTCTACCAAGCTACAGAGGT